AAAGATGCTGTTAAGTTGCAGCAAACTCAATATGCCAGCAAATTTGGAAAACCCAGCAGTTGCCAGAGGACTGTAAAAGTCAGTTTTCATTCCAATCTCAAAGAAAGGCAATGTCAAAGAATGTTCAAACTACCGGACAATTGCACTCATTTCTATGGTAGCAAGGTAATGCTCAAAACCCTTCAAGGTAGGCTTCAACAGTACATGAACTGAGAACTACCCAGATGAGCAAGCTGGATCTAGTAAAGGCAGAAGAACCAGAGATCAAATTGCCAACATCGGTTGGATCCTAGAAAAAGCAAAGGAATTCCAGCTCGGTTCAGTTCAGTTCAGTAGCTCAGTTGTGTCCGACTCTTTGCGACCCCATGGACCACAGCACGCCAGGCCTCCTTGTCCATCACCAGCTTCTGGAGTTTACCCAAACTCATGTCCATTGATTCAGTGATGCCATCCAACCATATCCTCCTCTATTGTCCCCTTCTCCTCTTGCCTTCAAACTTTCCCAGCATCAGAGTCTTTTCAAATGGATCAGTTCTTCACATCAGGATTGGAGTTTCAGTTTCAACATCAGTCCTTCCAATGAACACTCAGGAATGATCTCCTTTAGGAAGGAATTCCAGAAAAACATCTATTTCTGCTTCATTGACTACTGGAAGTTTGTGTGAGTCACAACAACTGTGGGAAATTCTTGAAGAGATGGGAATACCAGACCATCATACCTGCCTCCTAGAAACATGTATGCAAGACAAGAAGCAACAGTTAGAACTGGACATGGAACAATAGACTGGTCCCAAATTGGGAAAGGAGTACATCAAATCTGTACATTGTCACTCTGTTTATTTAACTTATATGCAGAGGACATCATGCAAAATGCCAGGCTGGGTAAATCACAAGCTGGAATCAAAATTTCTGGGAGAAATATCAACAACCTCAGATATGCAGATGATACCACTCTAATGGCAGGAAGCAAAAAGAACTAAATAATCTCTTGATGAAGGTAAAAGAGGAGAGTGAAAAAGCTGGCTTAAAACTCAACATTCAAAAAAACTAGATCATGGCATCCAGTCCCATCACATCATGGCATATATATGGAGAAAAAGTGGAAACAGTGACAGACTTTATTTTCTTGGGCTCTAAAATCACATGGATGGTGACCACAGTCACGAAATTAAAAGATACTTGTTCCTTGGAAGAAAAACTATGAAAAACCTAGACAACATATGACAAAGTAGAGACATCATTTTGCCAACAAAGGTCTGTGTAGTCAAAGCTATGGTTTTTCCAGTAGTCATGTATGGATGTGAGAGTTGGACCATAAAGAAGGTCAAGCACCAAAGAATTGATGCTTTTGAAATTTGGTGCTGGAGAAGACTCTTTTAGAGTCCCGTGGACAGCAAGGAGATCAAACCAGTAAATAGAAAAGGAAATAAGTCCTGAATATTCATTGGAAGGGCTGATGCTGAAGCTGAAGCTTCAATACTTTGGCCAGCTGATCTGACGAGCCAACTTATTGGATAAGACCCTGATGCTGGGAAAGATTGAGGGCAGGAGGAGAAGGGGACGACAGATAATAAAATATTTAGATAGCGTTACCAACTCAATGGACATGAATTTGAGAGATAGTGCAGGATAGGGAAGCCTGGAATGCTATAGTTCATCTGGTCAGAGTCAGACACGACTTAGGCACTGAACAACAACAACTAGCAGGTCTCACAGAGCATGAATGATAACCTGCAGGAAGGCTGTCAGCCCAGGGTCCTTGCATGCAATTCCCTCCCTCCCCCTGCCAGGGAAGTTGTGCTGGCCTTGTGGGGTGTGTTCCCAAGTGTCCTCAGGGTTGTGGAAAATGTAGCAGTCAGTCACATGAAATGTAAAGTTACACGTGTCTGTGACTGCTGAGTGATGCCATGTCTGTTACATATCTGCTTCAGGACAGTGAGCTCATTGTTTGTGGGGAAAGGATGTTACATTGGGCAACATAATACCAGAGCCTTGACATCCTCTCTCCCCTGTAAGAGTTAATTGTCTTTGCAGACCCTGCAGTTCACTCATCGTGGCATCCTGCTCAGGCCTAAGTAGGGTTTGAAAGAAACTGGATGTCTTTTCATAGGTGTGCGTTCCCTTTGATCTGCTGCAACTCTTGGGCATGAGGTGAGGTAGGTGGTGAGATGTTTGGTTCCCTGGTGTTCAAGGCTGAGATGACACCTGGTTTCTAAGGTAGACCCTGCCCTCCCTCCCTGCTGGAGAGAATCACCTGTAGCTTTGATCTCCCGACAGGGAAGAAGGTGAGGGAGGCCACGCTGGAGAGTTCATTCCAGAATCTCCCTGGGTGAAGACACGTCTGCTTCCTTCTCAGAAGCCTTGTCTGTGATGAATAGTGTTATGTCACCACATTTGCTGTGGAAATGAGAGCCTGGTTCTAGTGAGTTTTCTGTGCTCAATGGAGCTGGACCCTTGGCATCCTTCTGACAGGGTGATGGCCCCAGAATTCACCTGCATCATCCCTGTGAGCACCCTGGTTCCAGACTGAGTTCTGGGGTTGGATTGGGACACCCACTGGGGTGCAGAAAAGGCCTGAACAGAGCCCCCAGCATGAGCTTGGTCTGTGTTTGTGTTGCCCATATAAGGGCAAAGTTATAGGAAGCTAAAATAAAATGTTATTCAACTTAATGAAGACAGAGAGCAGTGTGGATGCTGAAATGAGAATACAGGCACACAACTGGATAATCAAAAGCACCACTGAATCACTTTCAGCTCTTTGCCTGAAAAAAGTACAAAGGGGAAATGTTAGATCATGTTCAGGTTCAGAGACGGTTTTTCTTTAGGTCAGTGTCACAGGTGGGGCCCTAATAGTTATGGTTCCTGGTCAGACACCCCCAGGTGGAAAGAGCCCCAGAGCTCAGTGGATGGTGAACTGGCCTCCAGCCTAAATTGTCCTGCCCCAGTCCAGTGCTTCCCACCCTTTCTGAGCTCCCGTGTCTCACAGGAGGAAGCCTGCTCCTTCCTTGCTGGTAGAACCAAGGACACTAAGCATTGAGGAGGTTCTGTGCCTTTGCCCCCTTGTACCCCATCCCCCACCCCCACTGCAGTGCCCATGTACACGCTGGTACTGACTACACTGTCACCCAGTGTTCGGTTGTTAGGCTAAGAAGTCAGGCCCTGAAAATAATTTGGACTTCTCCCCCTTGACTTTTTTCCCTATCATTTTATAAAATCTCCATAGCATCCTGGAAGATAAGTGATAAACCCCCAGGTTTTACTAACAGCTCTTCTCAGGAGACATACAGGTAACAAGGTGATGTCAGTATTTCCTGATGATACAACACAAGTTATCACTCGTCCTGGACAGAGGTCACAGTCTCACAATCTACCCCTGACAACAGCAAGTTATAGCCTTGTTCATGGTGGGGAATGAGAACCGTAAGGGGTCCTCCCTGCCCAGAAGCCTGCAGCCCACCTGTTTCCTGATGGGCAGGAGCCTGACCCTGGTGCTCATGGTCAGTGTGCTCCTAGAGAAGATGGCAGGAAATGAATGGCTAGTCATGTGACACCAGAGCCCAAACCCACATGAAGTCACTCAAAAGAGAATGGCCACTAAGGCCACTGTCAGATTCTAAAAGGGTGATGTGAGTGTCACATGCCACAGTGACCTCCAAACACCAGAATAGATATCCAGCAGGCAGTTATCAAAACATACATCAGGTTTCTGGAGTGGAAGTCAAGACTGTTCAAAGACTCCTCGTCTGCCAGGTCCTCCGGACACAAGGGCGGTGCAGTACCAGGTGCTCCATGACCCGCACAGAGACTCCTGGCGCAGGTGTGGGGAGAGTCCCCGGATGGGGGAGACGGCAGACTGTGTGCTCCCTTACTCATCTCACCCTGTCCTAGGTCTGGCTCTAGTCCAGGGTAGGGGTGTACTGACTCAATCCCAGCCTTTAGGTTACTCATCTGAGGTGGAGACAGCACGCAGGTAGCTCATCAAAATTCAGTGTGGTGAGGACTCTAGCGGGGAGTTAAATTTTGGAATGCCGCTGACTTATAAATTAGTGAATACTCAGTGATGAAATAGAATGACATACTGCTATTTGCAGAAACATGGATGGAAAGAATATTATTCTTAGTAAAGCAATTCAGAGGAAAGCAAATATGAAATGTTATCACTTATACTTTGAATCTAAAAAATAAAAGACCATATACAAAACAGAAATAGACTCAGAGACATAGAAAACAAACTTATGGTTACCAAAGGGGACTGGGAAGGAGGAACAAATTAGGAATATGCGATTAACAGATAAACATTACTATGTAAAATAGATAAGCAACAAGAATTGCCTGTAAAGCACAGGGAATTTTATTCAGTATCTTGTAATAAGCTGTAATGGAAAAGGTAATGGCAACCCACTCCAGTACTCTTGCCTGGAGAATCCCATGGATGGAGAAGCCTGGTGGGCTACCGTCTATGGGGTTGCACAGCGTCAGACACAACTGACTCGACTTAGCAGCAGCAGCAGCAGCAGCAATAAGCTGTAATGGAATATAATCAGAAAAAAAAAAAAGGGACTCACTGTACTATATGCCTGAAACTAACACATTGTTGTAAATCAACTGTCCTTTAATATATTTTTCAAAAAATTGTGAACAATTTCCACCTGGAGAGATGCTAGAATTTGGAGGGAGGTGTATTTGAGAGGACCTTGATGAATAAGTTAATAGAGTTCCTTTACCTAAATGTAGCTTCAATTTGAATTTGGTCAAAGAGAGATTCAAAGAGAATCTTTAACTTCTAGCTTGTTAAAGTGAAGGTTGGTGTGAACAGGAGTTTGAGGGTCACATGGAGGATCCTCTCCAAAAGGGGCAGCTTTCTTCCCCAGGCAGCCCTCAAGGAAGCCCTGGGTGTGCCCTTCAGCGGGACGTGTGACCACAGAGCCCGGGAGGCAGTGGTTTCCTTGCATCCAGCCTCCCTAACTTTCTCTGTCGTGTGTCTGTCTCTGCTTCCCCAGCTCGGAGCCCGGTGTTTTCCCACTTAGCATCTTCTCTCCAGGGACTCGGGACCATCCGGGCGTACAAAGCTGAACACAAGTTTCAGAAACTGTTCAATGCACACCAGGATTTGCACTCAGGTCTGTCAGTTTCTGGAGATGATTTCAAAGGATGAGATCTGCTGCCTTCTGAGGCCTGACCTTCTTCTCAGGTGGCCTGACTGCTCCAACCTCTCTCTGTACCACTCGTCATCCCCCTCTGCACACCTGCCTCCCCCACCCCTTCCTTTCAGCATCCCTCTGTGCGCCCCTCTTCCCCATCACCCCCTGCTTTTCTCCCCCATCTTGTTTGTGTTGTCCTTCGTCCTTCCATCACTGTGCCCTGTGGTTTTCTCTCTCTTTCAGGCAGGAGTTAAGAAACTTGTTTGTGTGTGTGTGTGTGTGTGTGTGTAAAGATTCAGACAGAAAATTTTGTAGGCTTTTTGTACTGTACTGTCCCTGTTGCAGCTACTCACTTTTGCTGTTGTAGCAAAAAGACAGACAAAGATAATATGTCAGCAAATGGTCGGGCTGTGTTCCAGTAAAACTTTACAGAACCAGGTGGTGGCTGTTCTTGGCCCATAGGCTTTAGTTTATTGATTCTCCTTTCAGAGTAGCAGGGTGACAGATGTGATTGAGGAATATAATTTCCTAATTTGCCACCCACTTGATTATACTTTGTATCAGTGAAGTTTTTTCTAGGAAGAAATTTCAGAATTTCCACTAAGTCTGTAAAATTTTGATCTCTCTATCTTTATTTTGTTTGAAGATAATGACTGCATTTAGAAAGCCACATGCAGATCTTGTTAGCTGATGGTCCTTTAGATATTGGCTCCTAAAAGTAGACACACAGGCCGTGTAATGAGTGCAGAAGGTATTGGAAACAGTGTGAGCTGTTCTGTCTGCTATCAGAGAGCTGGGAACAGTTGACATGTGAGAGAATGACCTTCATGTTGAGGTCCAGCACTGCAGGAAATGTGCCAATTAGACATTTCCCCCTCTTTTTCCTTTTGATTGTATTTCTGTTAATAACCAGTGAGTTGAGGTTTTCAGTGCATGCTTCTCATAAAGCTGCCGGACTGATTCTATATGTGCTATATGCTGTCTTTGTCAGAACCTAGCCTTCTGGAATCTTCAGTTTCCTTGAATGTGTAACTTTGTTGTCCTACCTTGTGTAAATGCTCAACTAAGCAAAATGTCTTCTTCATTAGAAGCAGCTAGCATGGTTTTTATATTTATTCATTATACTTATTATGGTTCACAAATCCAGAGGCTTGGTTCTTGCTTTTGACGACGTCCCGATGGCTTGCTGTGTATCTGGATGTCATCTGTGCCATCTTTGTCACCATTGTTGCCTTTGGGGCCCTGATTCTGGCAGATGGTAAGTAAAAATCTGAATATTTATGGAATTCTTACAGATTATAGCTTCATTTCCAGTTATTAATTTAAACTCTTGCCATCTTGTCTAATATATACTCCTTGATTCTAATGAATTGTATTAAAGTGTTTGTAGCATGTGACTTCACAGCGTGGTCCATGTGAAGTCATTTGCGTCTTCATGAGAAATTTTATCTTTTTTTCCATTTATTTATTTACAGTATATCTTTGTAGAGTCCTTAAAAAAATATATTGATTTACAATGTTGTATTAGTTTCAGATGTGCAGCCAAGTGAATCTGTTGTGTGCTCAGTCTCTAAGCCATGTCAGCTCTTTGAAACCCCATGGGCTGTAGCCTGCTAGGCTCCTCTGTCCTTGGGGTTTTCCATAATGCTGGAGTGAGTTGCCATTTCCTTTTTCAGGGGATCTTCCTGATCCAGAGGTTGAACCTGTGTCTTCTGCATTAGCAGGCAGATTCTTTGCCACTGAGCCACCTGGGAAACCCAAATCTGTTATACATATACCCCCCTTATTTTGGATTCTTTTTTTCTACCTCATGAACATTGGGCTGCATACATTTTTTTAGTAATTTGCATTTTAAGTAATACTTCAAATAAATTGCTCTATTGGAAAGAATTTTTCTTTTCGGCTTTTGGAATATCAGGAACAAAGACCAGGTATGAGTGTGCCTGTTCCAGCAGACCTGTGGTGCTTTAGGTGCCTGCTTTGACTTACTTGGGCCATTCTTTTATCTTTATCTTTTAAAAATTTTATAGGAGTATATTTGATTTGTGCTGTTGTTTTAGTGTGCAATACTTCATGTGTGCAGCAAAGTGAATCTGCTATACATATATCTACTCTTTTTTAGATTCTTTTCCTGTATAAGTCTTTACAGAGTTCCCTGTGCTTTATAGTAGGCCCTTATTAGTTAACTATTTTATATATAGGAGTGTGTAAGTGTCAATCTTTCAAATTATCCCTCTCCTCTCTTACCCTCGTATTTTCTGCATATGTAACTATATTTCTGTTTTGTAGATAAGTTCATTTGTAGCCTTTTGTTGGATTCTACATATAGGCAATATCATATGCTATTTGTCTTTGACTTACTTCATTCGTTATGACAATCTCTAGGTCCATCCATGTTGCTGCAAATGGCATTATTTCATTGCTTTTATGTCTGAATAACTGTCTGTTGTATATATGTACCACCTCTTCTTTATTCATTCTTCTGTTGGTAGACATTTAGTTTGCTTCTATGTTCTGGCTATTGTAAATAGTGCTGCAATGGACATTGGGGCGGAGGGTGGGGGGAATTATGGTTTTCTCTGGATATATGCCCAGGAGTGGGATTGCTAGATCATATGTAGTCCTATTTTTAGTTTTTAAAGGAACCTCCATATTGTTCTGTATAGTGGCTTTACCAGTTAACATTCTCCCTAACAGTGTAGGAGGGTTCCTTTTCTCCACATCCTCTCCAGCATTTATTGTTTGTAGGCTTTCTGATGATGGTCATTTTGACTGGTGTGAGGTGATACCTCATTGTAGTTTTGAGTTGCATTTCTCTAATAATTAAAGATGCTTACCATATTTTCATGAGCTTTTTTGGCCATTTGTATGTCTTCTTTGGAGAATGTAATTTTTGATCTTCTGCCCATTTTTTGATTGGGTTATTTGTTTGTTTTGATATTGAACAGCATGGACTGTTTGCATATATTGGAGAGTAATCCCTAGTTAGTCATTTCATTTGCAAATATTTCCCCCATTCTATGGGTTGTCTTTTCATTTTGTTTATAGTTTCCTTTGCTGTGCAAAAGCTTTAAGTTTAATTAGGCCCCATTTGTTAATGTTTAATTTTATATTCACTACTTTCAGAGGTAGATCAAAAGTTATGACTGCAGTTTATGTCAGAGGGTATTCTCTTTTCATCTGAGAGTTTTATAGTGCCTATGTGTGTGTGTGTTAGTCACTCAGTTGTGTCTGACTCTCTGTGACCCCATGGACTGCAGCCTGCTAGGCTTATCTGTCCATGGAATTCTCCAGACAAGAATACTGGAGTGGGTTGCCATTTCCTTCTCCAATGTGAATTTTAGTAGCAGTAGTTTAGTTGCTAAGTCATGTCCGACTCTTGTGACTCCACAGACTATATAGCCTGTCAGGTTCCTCTGTCCATGGGATTCTCCAGGCAAGAATACTGGAGTGGGTTCCATTTCCTTCTCCTTTATAGTGTATAGTCTTACATTTACGTCTGTAATCCATTTTGAGTTTATTTTTGTGTGTGGTGTTAGGGAGTATTTTAATTTCACTCTTTTACAAGAAGCTGTCCAATTTTGCCAACTCTATTTATGGAAGAGACTGCCCTTTCTCCATTATATATTCTTGCCTCCTTTGTCGTAGATTAGGTGACATAGGTGCATGGGTTTATCTCTGTATTTTCAATCCTGTTCCATTGATTGATATTTCTGTTTTTGGTGCCAGTATCATACTGTTTTGATTACTAAAGCTTTGTAGTAGAATTTTAAGACAGGGAAGCTGATTCCCTCAGCTTCACTTTTCTTTCTCAAGATTACCTTGGCTATTCACGGCCTTTTGTGTTGCCATACAAATTGTAAAATTTTTTGTTCTAATTCTGTAAAAAAAATGTCATTGGTAATTTGATAGGGATTACATTGAATCTATAGATTGTTTTAGGTAGTTTCTTTGTTTATCCTGGTTGAGACCTTTTATATTTTCAAGTTTCTTTGAATGTGTTGAGGTCTACACAGCTGTAGCAAGATGACATTCTGAACATTCCAGGTAGTGTCCTGTAGTTGGGAAGGGAGAATCAAACTTCTTATTAAGCTTTTCAAACAACTGAGAGTGTAGGTTTTAGCTTTAGGTCTACTCAGATCTCTTAATTGCAGGTACTGGTGCACTGGGGTGAGAAAGAGTCTCTGTAGCAAAGATCAGTATCGTCACTGCTGTGTGGGTACAAGATGAACAGGTGTGGGTATCTGTGGCATGAACTCACCATCCCTAACTATTTCATAGTAATAACACTGAATCATACTCTTTAATAATGAAAAATGAGAGTAATACTTTAGATTTAAAAGCACTGGCTCCTAGAATTGATTGCTTTGTTTTCATGGTTTCAACTGCAGCTACATTGGACATAGAAAGTGAGATTCAGTTCAGTTCAGTTCAGTCGTTCAGTTGTGTCAAATTCTTTGTGGCCCCATGGGCTGTGGCACACCAGGCCTCCCTGCCCATCACCAACTTCTGGAGTTTATCCAAACTCATGTCCATTGAGTCGGTGATGCCATCCAACCATTTCATCCTCTGTCGCCCCCCTTCTCCTTCAGCCTTCAATCTTTCCCAGCATCAGGGTCTTTTCAAATGAGTCAGTTCTTCGCATCAAGTAGACAAAGTATTGGAGCTTCAGCTTTAGCATCACTCCTTCCAATGAATATTCAGGGCTGATTTCCTTTAGAATGGACAGGTTGGATCTCCCTGCATCCAAGGGACTCTCAAGGGTCTTCTAAACATCACAGTTCAAAAGCATCAGTTCTTCAGTGCTCAGCTTTCTTTATAGTCCACCTCTCACATCAGTACATGACTACTGGAAAAACCATAGCTTTGACCAGATGAATGTTTGTTGCAAAGTAGTGTCTCTGCTTTTCAATATGCTTTCTAGGTTGGTCATAGCTTTTCTTCCAAGGAGCAAGCGTCTTTTAATTTCATGGCTGCAATCACCATCTGCAGTGATTTTGGAGCCCAAAAAAATAAAGTCTGTTACTGTTTTCACTGTTTCCCCATCTATTTCCCATGAAGTGATGGAACCAGATGCCATGATCTAAGTTTTCTGAATGTTGACCTTTAAGCCAACTTTTTCACTCTCCTCTTTCACTTTCACCAAGAGGCTCTTTAGTTCTTCTTTGCTTTCTGCCATAAGTGTGATGTCATCTGCATATCTGAGGTTATTGATATTTCTCCCAGCAGTCTTGATTCCAGCTTGTGCTTCATCTAGCCCAGCGTTTCTCATGATGTACTCTGCGTATAAGTTAAACACACAGGGTGACAATATACAGCCTTGATGTACTTCTTTTCCTATTTGGAACTACTCTGTTGTTCCATGTCCAGTTCTAACTCTAGCTTCCTGACCTGTGTACAGATTTCTTAGGAGACAGGTCAGGTGTTCTGGTATTCCCAGCTTTTTATGGATTTTCCATAGTTTGTTGTGATCCACACTGTCAAAGGTTTTGGCATAGTCAATAAAGCAGAAGTAGATATCTTTCTGGAACTCTCTTGCTTTTTCTATGATCCATCAGAAGTTAGAAATTTGATCTCTGGTTCTTCTGCCTTTTCTAAATCCAGCTTGAACATTGGGAAGTTTACATGTACTGTTGAAGCCTGGCTTGGAGAATTTTGAGCATAACTTTGCTTGCATGTGAGATGACTCCAATTTTATGGCAGTTTGAGCATTCTTTGGCATTGCCTTTCTTTTGGATTGGAATGAAAACTGACCTTTTCCAGTCCTGTGGCTACTGCTGAGTTTTCCAAATTTGCTGGCATATTGAGTGCAGCACTTTCACAGCATCATCTTTCAGGATTTGAAATAGCTCAACTGGAATTCTATCACCTCCACTAGCTTTTCTTGTAGTTATGCTTCCTAAGGCCCACTTGACTTCGCATTCCAGGATGTCTGGCCCTAGGTGAGTGATCACATCATCATGATTATCTGTGTCGTGAAGATCTTTTTTTGTACAGTATTTCTATGTATTCTTGCCACCTTTTCTTTTTTTCCATTTATTTTTATTAGTTGGAGGCTAATTACTTTACAACATTGCAGTGGTTTTTGTCATACATTGAAATGAATTAGCCATGGATTTACATGTATTCCCCATCCCGGTCCCCCCTCCCACCTCCCTCTCCACCCCATCCCTCTGGGTCTTCTCAGTGCACCAGGTCTGAGCATTTGTCTCATGCATCCAACCTGGGCTGGTGATCTGTTTCACCCTAGATATACATGTTTCGATGCTGTTCTCTTGAAATGTCCCACCCTCGCCTTTTCCCACAGAATCCACAAGTCTGTTCTATACATCTGAGTCTCTTTTTCTGTTTTGCATATAGGGTTATCGTTACCATCTTTCTAAATCCCATATATATGTGTTAGTATACTGTAATGGTCTTTATCTTTCTGGCTTACTTTGCTCTGTATAATGGGCTCCAGTTTCATCCATCTCATTAGAACTGATTCAAATGAATTCTTTTTAATGGCTGAGTAATATTCCATGGTGTATATGTACCACAGCTTCCTCATCCATTCGTCTGCTGATGGGCATCTAGGTTGCTTCCATGTCCTGGCTATTATAAACAGTGCTGCGATGAACATTGGGGTGCACGTGTCTCTTTCAGATCTGGTTTCCTCGGTGTGTATGCCTAGAAGTGGTATTGCTGGGTCATGTGGGAGTTCTATTTCCAGCTTTTTAAGGAATCTCCACACTGTTTTCCATAGTGGCTGCACTAGTTTGCATTCCCACCAACAGTGTAAGAGGGTTCCCTTTTCTCCACACCCTCTCCAGCATTTATTGCTTGTAGACTTTTGGATAGCAGCCATCCTGACTGGCGTGTAATGGTACCTCATTGTGGTTTTGATTTGCATTTCTCTGATAATGAGTGATGTTGAGCATCTTTTCATGTGTTTTTTTGCCATCCATATGTCTTCCTTGGAGAAATGTCTGTTTAGTTCTTTGGCCCATTTTTTGATTGGGTCATTTATTTTTCTGGTCCTAGAGGAGAACATAGGCAAAACACTCTCCGACATAAATCACAGCAGGATCCTCTATGACCCACATCCCAGAATTTTAGAAACAAAAGCAAAAATAAACAAATGGGACCTAATGAAACTTAAAAGCTTTTGCACAACAAAGGAAACTATAAGCAAGGTGAAAAGACAGCCCTCAGATTGGGAGAAAATAATAGCAAATGAAGCAACAGACAAAGGATTAATGCCACCTTTTCTTAATAGCGTCTTCTTCTGTTAGGTCCATACTATTTCTGTCTTTTATTGTGCCCATCTTTGCATGAAATGTTCCCTTTGTATCTGTAATTTTCTTGAAGAGATCTCTAGTCTTTCCTATTCTATTGTTTTCCTCTATTTCTTTGCACTTATCACTGAGGAAGGCTTCTTATCTCTCCTTGCTCTTCTTTGGAATTCTTTATTCAAATGGGTATATTTTTCCTTTTCCTTTTGCTTCTGTTCTTTTCACAGCTATTTGTAAGGCCTCCTCAGACAACCATTTTGTCTTTTTGCATTACTTTTTCTTGGGGTGGTCTTGATACCTGCCTCCTGTACAATGTCACAAACCTCTGTCCATAATTCTTCAGGCACTCTGTCTATAGGATCTAATCCCTTGCATCTATTTCTCACTTCCACTGTATAATCTTAGGGGATGATTTAGGTCATACCTGCATGGCCTAGTAGTTTCCCCTAATTTCTTCAATTAAAGTCTGAATTTGGCAATAAGGAGTTCATGATCTGAGCCACAGTGAGCTCCCAGTCTTGTTTTTGCTGGCTGTATAGAGCTTCTCCTTCTTTGGCTGCAAAGAATATACTCAATCTGATTTTGATATTGGCCATCTGGTGATGTCCATGTGTAGAGTCTTCTCTTGTGTTGTTGGAAGAGGGTGTTTGCTATGACCAGTGTTCTCTTGGCAAAACTCTATTAGCCTTTGCCCTGCTTCATTCTGTACTCTATAGGAGACAGACCTACTAAAATGCCTGGCAAAAGTATTAAACAATCTTGCTGAGAGGACAGTATGTGACTCCTAAAGAAATCCAAGAAGGAACAATCATCCTGAAAGCAAGATGTGTACCTGGGGATGGAAAACCATCAACAGATTGTTCCTATCTTTGGTGCCTGGGAGGCACATAAAGATTAACTGGGTCTCTATCCTTGAGGCAGGAAAAACAGGGGTACAAAAATGTTAAACATTAACTACACAGGGTTATCATTGAAGGACACCTGGTCTGCTATGCTCACGTAAACACGTACAAGCAAGTCTCAAAAAGTATAATAAAGCAGACTTGAGATCAGTTTGGGCGCCTTCACCTCATAGTGGTGTTGGTCCCCTGATCCCTACTGTAACTTTCTTGAATGTTTCTCATTCTTTCTCCGTGCTGCACTTTCAGGAACCTGTGCCATCGAGCTGGACTCAACAGTATTCTAAGGCCAAATTTATCTGTTATTCCAGGTATTTCTTGACTTCCTACTTTTGTGTTCCAGCCCCGTATAATGAAAAGGACATCTTTTTCGGGTGTTAATTCTTGAAGGTCTTGTAGGTCTTCATAGAACTGTTCAACTTCAGCTTCTTCAGCGTTACTGATCAGGGCATAGACTCGGATTACTGTGATATTGAATGGTTTGCTTTGGAAATGAAGAGAGATCATTCTGTCATTTTTGAGACTGCATCCAAGTACTGCATTTCAGACTCTTTTGTTGACTCTGATGGTTACTCCATTTCTTCTAAGGGATTCTTGCCCACAGTAGTAGATGTAATGGTCATTTGAGTTAAATTCACCCATTCCAGTACATTTTAGTTTGCTGATTCCTAAAATGTTGGCGTTCACTCTTGCCATCTCCTGTTTGACCACTTCCAATTTGCCTTGATTCATGGACCTAACATTCCAGGTTCCTATGCAATGTTGCTCTTTACAGCATTGGACTTTATTTCCATCACCAGTCACATCCACAACTGGGTGTTGTTTTTGCTTTTGCTCTGCCTCTTCATTTTTTCTGGAGTTATTTCTCCACTGATCTCCAGTAACATATTGGGCACCTACGGACCTGAGGAGTTCTTCTTTCAGTGTCCTATCTTTTTGCCTTTTCATGCTGTTCACGACGTTCTAAAGGCAAGAATACTGAAGTGGTTTGCGGTTCCCTTTTCCAGTGGGCCGTACTTTGTCACAGTGAGATTACATAATGATAATTGAAGGCATAGTGATGAAAATCTGAATAATGACATGATCCTCACCCATATAATGCTGTCAATTGTATGTCAATCCAGTTGGGATTAATAAAATCACCTTTCTTAATTCTTTCTAAATTCATAATGTTTTTTTCACCATGTTATGGTCTCAATCTATAGACAGTAATATTATGAGTAATATTATCATTATATGCAAATGATTAAAATATCATAAAGAACTCTTCTCACTACTATATATTAATATAAAATAATAACTATTAAGGACCTACTATATAGCACAGAGAACTCTACTCAATACTCTGTAATGGCCTATATGGGAAAATAATTTTAGAAAGAATGGATTATATGTATATGTATGGCTAATTCACTTTACTGTACACCTGAAACTAGCACAACTTTGTAAATCAACTATACACCAATAAAAATTATAAAAATAAAGGAGTCTTCTTCATAAAGCGACAGAAGGAACTGAGTGAGGGATTGAGAAGGAAACTGACTATTCTTCTTCTTCCTCATTTAGCTTTGAATCCTGCAGAGGTTGGCCTGGTCCTGTCTCTCACCCCCACACTTATGGGGATGTTCCAGTGGTGTGTCAGACAAAGTGCTGAAGTTGAGAATGTGGTGATGTTTATCTTTCCATTCTTAGTCTTTTCAAATTTCCTTGCTCTTAATGGTATAAAAGCAATTCTAACGTAAAACTGTCCTTTTTGCATCATCATTAACAGAGGTTTTTTTTTTTTAATTCTCTTCCATCTCCTTAAAATTAATGTTAAATAAAATATATACATCTTTTTCTCAGTTTTATGTATTCCATGTCAGGTTTTATATTCATTACAAGCTGTCCTCAAGTATAGTAAATGTCTCTGCAGGAGAGAGGTTATGAAATTCTGGAGGGAATATGAGCTGATTTCTTAGCAGCTTGTTTATCTTTGTTTCTTAAGGGGTAATTCCTCATTTTTGGTTAAAAAAAAAAAGAATTCATTATTTTGAGGTTTGTTTATTTAATTAATTGTTTCCTCTGCCTTCCCCTCCCCACACCCATTTTATCATTTATTCTTGTATGCATTGAGCCCTTGAAATTGCTGGAAACCCTTCTTAGTGGTAGGATAAGCTGTCTCTCAAAATGTGCTCTTAAAGTTGTGGAGTTATAGTTGTTTAAGAGGCCTTAGTCAATGTGTAAATTGTACACTTTTTTTTTTTAATATTTGCACCTTCTCCTAAAGGGAGAAAAACAGTAAAAATGAAGTCTTTTCATTTCAGTCTTCTAACAGAGTAGAACATGACTAAATATTAAAATGAGGTTTGATGACTGTCTAGTTCTGCTCATCTGTAACACGTGGCCCTTCTGTAACCACACATTACTAATCAGTGTCCATAAGTGTTCTTTTCTTTGAAAAAATTCTCTTGTTTTTCAATGCTATTCTCTCAGAACATCCCACCCTTGCCTTCTCCCACAGAGTCCAAAAGTCTGCTCTGTACATCTGTGTCTCTTTTTCTGTTTTGCATATAGGCTTATCATGACCATCTTTTTAAATTCCATATATATGCTATACTGTCAAGGATGAAACAGATCACCAGCCCAAGTTGGTTGCATGAGACAAGTGCTCAGGGCTGGTGCAGTGGGAAGACCCAGAGGGATGGGATGGGATGGGGAGGGAAGTGGGAGGGGGGATCAGGATGGGGAACACATGTAAATCCATGGCTGATTCATGTCAATTTATGGCAAAAACCACCACAATATTGTAAAGCAATTAGCCTCCAACTAATAAAAATAAATGGGAAAAAAAAGTAAAAAAAAAAGAAAAAAATTATCTTGTTTTTCAAATTCAGATTTGAAAGGCAGATCAGTAAAGTCTTAAACATTCATTTCTCTAATTCTTTAAGCTTTACTATAAAGTTGAAGGAAGTAGTCATAAGTAAAATTGTTGAAGATGATGAACACATTTGCAAATCATCCAAGGCCTCATAAGACTCCCACTTCTGTCCTTTGTGGATGCGAAGACCTGAGATATTCTATACCATATAAAAGAAAATGTAAAGATATAAAAGCAGAAGTTTTCACTTACAATCTCTAAACATCCAGACCCTCTGATACTAACTCATGTGATGTCATATGTGTTTCAGATGATTTCAGTAGAAAGGGGGATTGAATATACAGACCTTGAGAAAGAAGCACCCTGGGAACTTGAGCATCGTCTACCACCATCCTGGCCTGATGAAGGATGGATTTACTTTAGCAATGTTAACTTCAGGTACATCTTGGACGGGCCTCTGGTATTGAAGAACCTGGATGACACATTCATTAATCCAAGAGAAAAGGTTAGTTTAAGCCATTTGCCTCTTTAAAATCCAGCTGAAGATTTAGCACCACATCTGCTCTTGGCTCCCTTGTAAGTGTGTCAGGGGGACTCTTTGTTCCCAATGGATGCAGATTAGATCAGTGACATCATAGGTGAATCTTTTTTGGAAACTGACCATGGAATGGGAATACCAGCATTTTTTTCCCTGTGGAGTGAGCTCCCTCATGGTGGTAGATGGGTCTTGGGCTCCAGGGCTCAATCTTAACCTGACCCAGGGCACTCTATAGGACACCTGATTATTCATGCTAAGTCTGGGAAGTCAGCCCTGGCTCCCTGCCACTAACTGACCAACATCCCCTGCCTTTCCTCCTTTCCACCTTTTCTTCTTTGTATTCTGAGATCTCCTCCTCCCATGGTGCCCTCTGGTTGCTGCCTCCTCCCCTTTCCATTGGCCCTTCCCGTAGACTTGTCCTCATTCACCGACACTGAACTGCCATCACCCTGCCCCACCCCACAGACTGCTTCTTTCTGAAGCACAGATCTGACTTTAACTGGCCTGGGTTAGCTGCTGGTGGAACCACTGCACAGCCCCAAGCCCACTCCAGTAGGGGCTCTGGGGTGAGCTCATAGCCACTACAGAGGAGCCAGAATCAAGACTCAGTCACGGGTGAGGAACCAGAGTCCCAGATGGAGACAGGGCCCAGAGACTCGCTCAGTCAAAAGCAAAGTGAAGGGACTAGTAGATTCACATTGGAGATGGCAGAGATGCTAGTAACCTGGACCTGCCAGTGTCTATGTCTGCTGGTGATGTTTCTTTCATGCTCAGATTGGGACCCTTAACTGGGACCAGGGCAAATTCTTGAAGAATAGACTAAACCAGAACAGACAAGGTGGTAGGAAGTCCTTGCCCCATCTCCCTCTGTGGCCAGTATGTCTCCTGATTTACTCACATCCCTGCACTCGGGTTGTGTGTAGGTGCTCCCAAAATACTATGTCCTCCCAGCTTCCAGTGTGCAGTCTGCCCCTCAACCTGAGAGACCCGTCCCTTCCGTCATCTGGATGGTAAAAATCACCTCATTTTCTGAGGCAACTCTAATGTGTCTTCAAGACTCTCAATTCGTCCTCAGTGTCTTATATTTTCTTTTAACATAGCATTTACAGTACACCTGTGGTCATAGCAGGCAAAAGTTGGAAGGAACTAAATCCTTACTATGAAATATTATTCAGTCTTAAAAAGGAATAAAATTCTGGCCTATGGATAAAACTTGAGGACATCTTGCTAAATGAAATAATCCAGACACAAAAGAAATGAAAACTCTGTGAGTTCCACTCATGTGAGTTTCCCAGAGCTGTCAAATTCAAGAAGACAGGAAGTAGGATGGCGGTCTCCAGGGACTGCAGGAGGAGAGATGGAGAGTTGTTTGTCTAAAGAGTATAGAATATCAGTTTTATGAGGCAAGTAAATAAATTCTCAAGCTTTGACAGTTTGAAACTGAGTTCATGAATCACCCAAACCCCTATTGTGACTGAGCAGGAGGCACTAGAAAGCTCTGTGTCACTTACCCTACAGATTTACTTACGTTTATATTCTATAAATCAGGCCTTTACAGTATAATCTAATTATGTGATTCTACTGCATTTATTTGCATCTTTCCATGAAGTCTGTCTTCATCACGGGCCATTTTCATCCTGCTGTCTGTCCTTCCCCACACCAGCCTTCTGTGGGGACTGGAGGAATTTCCCATGGGCTCAGCCCTGCCTGGAACTGCAGTCAGAGATAGCTGAGCAAGGCAGTCAGAGATTGCTGAGCGTACATGTGGCTCTTTCACCAACTGACGGGATGAAATGTTAGTCTTACTGCCCCAAGCAGGGCACGAGATCTGTCTAGTCTGTTCCCCAGACACCACGTGCCCCTCTCAGCCACAGGTTTCTCTCAGCCCAGCTGTGGGCGACGGTTCTTCCTGCTGACCGCCAGCCTACCTGACCTCAGGCACACTCTTGCTCCCACTCACCAGCTACATGCCGGTATTCACATCATGCTTTAATTCTCTGGTTGTAGGATCTCTATGTTAGGCCTGTGCCTTTAACTGCAGCTATACTTCTCCCCACTTTCCCTGTTGTGGCTACACAGAGTGACATGATAAGGGCCAGGCCATCCAGGTGATAAGGAGGCCATCAGCAGATGGAGAAGAGCCCAAGGATGTGGATTTGAGTCCCATCCTGTGACTTATGAGCTCTGACATTTCAGGCAGACTAATTCATTTTACTAAGCCTCAATCGTTTCTTTTACAAAATGGGAGCAGTAGAATGTAACCTGTAAGGTTGTTATACAACTTAAACAAGATAAGACATGTAAAGGACCCAGCACAGGGATCAGATTAATTGCTTGGGTAAAGATGGTCATCATTTCATCAGGTGTTAAATGACCATAACCACTTATACCCAAAAGTTGTTGTCCCATGAGAAAAGAGGTGTTGGCCATTTGAAGTTGTATCTGTAGCTGTAGGATCCGTCTGTTGTGTCTTTCTCTGTCTGGTTTATCATATAACTAAATAATATGGTAAGAGATTTTCCATAAATTTGTCTGGCCTGAGTTAAAAATCTCACTTCCCAGTGGAAGCTTCTTTTTCTCAGGACACCACAGGTAGTACAAATAAGACAGTCAAATCCAATACAGATTCTGCTGTCAACATTTACAGTTCATCTGAAGAAACAAGAAAATGACTATATTAGCTTTGTAAGCTATAAAGAGATCATAATTTTTATAGAGGTTTTTACAGAAATGACATAACATCTGTTAGTGTTGGGACAAGCCCACATGAGGGACAGGGAGAGCATTTCCAAGGATTTAGGCATGTGAGACAGACTTAGTGATGTGTGGTTAGGGTTTCAGCAGGTGGAGATGCATTTAGCAGAAATACATGTGAAAGTTCTTTAGGAGGTGGGGTCAATATAAGCAAAAGCATGATGCCCTGATCCAGTGAATGAAGAACTAGGCGCCTGCCAAGCATTCAGGGAAAATCAGCTACCAGGTGTGCAGCAGACATTTTCATGCTTAACTCTGACAACTCCCGAGCCACCCAAGGAAGCCAACTTGTGAACATGAAGGATGGAGAGGTCAGTGGGAACAGTTTTGTAGAACAGACGTCCTGAGGTGGAGTGATGGACTCAGAGTCGGCCTTTGGGAGTTTAATCTGAGAAGTGAGAGAACGTGGACCAGAGTGGTCATATGTGGGAGGCAGGGAGCCTGGAGCTGTTGTGCCTCCAGCAAAATGTCCTGGGAAAGTGATTCCACTTTTTGGAATCAAACTGATGTCAATTAAAACAAAGATATAACACTCGGGTTTGTGAATGTGCAGGGAAATGAGTGGTAGTAGAAAATGGTATCATATTTCTGGAGGTTAGGTTAACAGCGTAATAGCTCCCTCTGAAAGTGTTCATACTTGATTCTCAGCAGTTCCACATCTGAGAATTTATCTGAAGGCAATCCTGGGGTGTTTGCAAAAAAAAGATTTAGCTTCAAGGATATTTAGCAGAGTTATTTATAGTAGCAAATTCTTGGAAACTGCCTAAATATCCAACAGTAAGGGGTTTGTTAAATGATCACATATACTGTAATATTTTGTAGCTATTAAAACAAATATCCTTATGAAATATTAAATGAAAACACATAATAATATGTTTATATTCATCCATTTTGTTTATATATGGGAACTTGTGTCTTTAAGAACACATACAGAAGTCTAGAAAGTAAAAACATCAGCTTGAAAATGTTTTATTCAGACTGCTGAGTATAGCTATTATTTATTTTTCAAATTTATTTGCACTGATTATGATTAAGGATCATAATCATAAAACATAGTTATTTTTATAAATCATAAAATAAGGCTTGTTTTAACTTGTTTTTTAGAAGGTAATGCAGCCTGGCACTCCAGTGCTGACTGTAGATCTTAAAATGAAGAATTGAGTCATAAAACACTGCAAGAGTAGAGTCTTCAGGGCTTGGCACCATGCTGGACTCAGGGAAGTGAGGTGGACAGATCAGCCCCTGAGGCTGGGAACGAAGTCGTGAGAGTAACATGGGAAAGACGGAGGAAGGGGATGCTTTGTGTGGGGCATTGGGTGTTGATTATGTTGAGTTTGGTGTGTGCAGAGAAATCCAGGTGCAAATGTCTAACAAGTTGGTGTCATCATCAGAGACCAACCTGGTTGGAAAAACAGAAAAGGGCCATTTCAAAGCAAATAACATAAGATTTTCTCCAAGTGTCTTTATAATTTTATTCATTTATTTTTGGCCATGCTGTGTCTCTGTTGCTGCCTGGGCTTTTCTCTAGTTGTGGTGAACGGGGACTCCTCTAGTTGTGTGCTTGGGCTTCTCATTGTGGTGGCCTCTCCTGTTACAAAGCACAGTCTATAGGGTGTGAGGGCTTCAGTAGTTGTGGCATGTGGGCTCAGTACTTTTGGTTCCCAGCTTGGAGAGTACAGGCTCAATAGTTGTGGTACTTGAGCTTAGTTGCTCTGTGGCATGTGGGATTCTCCTAGACCAGGGATTGCACCCATGTCTCCTGTACTGGCAGGTGGATTCTTTACCACTGAGCCACCAGGGAAGCCCTCCAAATGTCTTTAGATTGAAGAATGTGAGCTTACTGATACTGGTGACACTCTCCACAGGCAATTGGTAAAACCCTTTGGTTACCCAGAAAAGACATTCAGACTATAGTTTTGATGACTGAACTGCAGGATAGCCATAACCAGATTTTCTTTGAGTTCCCTTTTTCTTTTTGGGGGGCCTGTGGCCATCCAGCATGTGGGATCTTAGTTCTCTGATGAGGGATTGAATTCACACCTCCTACAGAGGAAGCACAGAATCTTAACCACTGGACTACCAGGGAAGACCCCTTCATTCTTTTGTTGTTGTTTTCCTTTATCTTCACTGAAGTATGGAGTTCATAGTCCTGTTGTTATGAGTGGTCCTTGGTGCCCCTACATATCTCAGTCTATTTACCCAAAGTCTACAAA